TGTATTTGGACATGCGTGCGTTTGCGTTTGTGTGGACAAACCAAAGTGTGGGCACAGTTATGCATTCTACGCTTATGCGTTGTAACAAGTCGCATTATTCACCTCACGCCGGCGGCCACTAATCGTAACGTCCACTAAGTTGAACACAAAAATACCCTAAACAAATGTTGAGATTATTTCATCTGCAAGTTTTTTTTTCTAGCTTGTCTCTTGTCATTATAAACGAAGGCAGGCGCAAGTCGCCGTCTCTGTTCCCAGCATGCTGTGAGGCACACAGCGGACATAATCGAAACCGAGGGTCGAACTGACCTGGTCATATCGGTCTATAATATCCTAGCGGATGACTGGAACGCACGCACAGCAAGGCTTTTACAAGTTTGTTCATAAACCGGGCTAAACACTGCTCGATTATGTTATATTAAACAGCTTTTAGTATGGGTGACGTCCTAAGCGTTATCTTGCTAATTGTGATGATTAGCTTTGTTAGCATGCCTGTTTGGGTTAGCAAACGTGGTATCGTGACATCGGTCGTTCACTGTGCCACTAACCTTCTTCCAGGCTTATTAAAGCCTTTGTCATTACCCAATACAATGTAGACGCTAAACAGATCCAGTGAATTTGAAAATGGATCTGCGTGAACATGGAGTAAATCCGTCGGAACAAACCTATTTAGGCGCAATCTGAAAGTTGACATAAATATTTGAGATGAAATCCATCAGCTACTCTAGAATAACCATTTAATATTCACAAGCTGTCGACAGGTGGTCCGCTGCATGACGCAGCTGCAAGGGGTTCGGCTCATCAGTAGATCCCCCGGCGCTACGTTACACAGCAGCACAAGATTGGCGAAACCCGACTGTCTGGACTTTTAGTTAGTACCTGTGCTGTCAGTGTGGTAAATAATTGCGTAGTTGAGATCACCTGTGCTCAATCCTCAGTCGCGCACACATCTGTGGTTGAGATATTACTGGTTAATGATAAAAACCCAGAAATGACCATTCCGTTGTGCCTCGGCGGATAATAGCAGATTATTGAACCTTTTTATGTAACATTCATAGGCCAACTACATACTAATAGGTGATTTTGGGGAGAGAATTGTTCGCACCTGCGTTCCATCACGATCCTCAACCTTTTATGACATTGTAAAACTGGTTTACATGATGCTAGGTAATGTCAGGCCTGTTCCGTCTCTTTGATGTGTTTCCTGATCTGCCGGAATAAACAGCCTTGGGCAGGGCCCTTATGACTTTAAATCTATTTTAACACTGAGGCATCTTTTTCCGTTTATAGTTGCAGGCGGCGAGTAAGTGGACAGCGGGAGCAAGAACATTCGAAGCAGCAGCAGCGACATCAACAGCGCCGGCAGGGGCAGATATTTCGGCTGGGCTTACGACCAAAACTCCTTTGACAGAAGCTGACGATGTTCAACAAACGCTCCTAGAGGCGAGAGAGGCTCTTCAGCAGTTTAATGCGCTTCAACAGCATGCGAGTTCATCTTCTGCTCAGGTGGCTGATCCAACGCGGATGGGAGATCTCAAAGTAAGGGTTACATTTAGTGAGTTTACCTAAGGAGACGCCAACT